ACCTTTTTGAAGGTAAAAGGCTTTTCCCAGAAACCAAGATGGCATAAATACTAATTTTCATTGACAACAGCATAGCACACTACCAAACATGCTTCCTTCTAACTTCAGTGAAGTGGTCAGCAGCAGGGAAAGCGGTCTGAAGCTATCTGATGAGATACTGTTCAACTGAATTCTTCTCAAGCCCCAAAACTGTTAATTGCACTGTGTTCAAAACCCGAAAGGCGGTAGCAAAAAGCTACTTTGGTTTAGGGTCTGGGGAAATGGGAAGCAGCCTCATAGAACCATTTCACACAGGGAGGAAGAACAAGAAAGAAGGCCCATGTTTTCGTTGCAATTCAGCTCTTGTTCCAAAATTGTTTAAGTATTCCCTCCCTTACATTCCAGACCACAGACAGATTTGGTTTTGTTACAGATACTCTCAAAATGTCCTTTTTTTAAAATTTTATGTAAAAGCATTCATTAATATTGTGGAACTTGCAGAGCAACACACTACCAAGTTACATTGCTTTCATCTCTACTTTTCTTAGCTGTTGACCCATATGCAATCTAAAGATCCCTTTTCCTCCCTCACATCAGTACCAAAAATGTTTAGGTATTTCTTGCAAGCATTACTTCCATGTTCTCACTCAGTATAATGCATTGAGAAGAGCCTTACAAATTAAGAACCAGTGCAAGAGCAGTTGAACAGATTCCTGTGTTAAGTCTGAAATAACCATTTAAGAAAAAAAAAACAACACACAGCATTTTGTCTGATGTGTTATTTTTCCCCATATATCACATACTACAGCCTCAGACAAACCAACTGTTCTAAAATTCGTATGTATAACCCCAACAGGACAGTACTATAACCTCACCATTTAGAGCCAAAGCTATAAAAAAACCTATTTCTAGTTTCAATTAACATCTAATCAAAGTGTGGGCTGCTTATTTCGGTTTCTAAATGACTTGACACTTTAAAGTTGTCCTGTTTTTTTCAATAATTTCCTGTTTACAGATTTGGTTTAAAAGGAGGTACAGCAGCAAAAAAAAATAAAAAAAAGAATAAAGGAAAAAATGTTTATTATAACCTAAATGCAATCTTAAAATACTACATTTGGAAAGTAAAGCTGAAGAATACTACAGAAGCAAATCTGACAGACATAACTGTGTAGTTATTTCAGAACAGCTGCAGAACAAGGGGTAGACAAAACACCCCTATTGCTTTTACAGTTCTAGAGAATTGGTGAACCATGGATGTCTCATGAAGTAATGGAAATATGCCATGGCCAGAATCATCAGAATTCAAGACTAGAAAAATTGCTGATAGGGTCTGACGCAACAAAATTGCACTCTATGCTTTGAGTAGCATTGCACAAGCAAGCTGGCAATGAACCTTCTTTGGATGTACCTCTTGGTAGCGAGGTAGGGAATTAAAACAAGCCAGGCAGAGTAGTGCAAGTGTGATTCAAAGAAATTCAACATCCTTTTTATGTTCACTTGAGCTATGTTCAAGTCTTCTTAACCTACCTAATAAATACACATTGAACAGGATACAATCAGGTTCCACAACTGACTTTCTAAATGTCTTGTTTAACCTACATTACAATTTTTTATTACCAGTGTGTAATTGCTGGTAACTAATCAAATCCCTTCAGCTACTAAGCTGGTATTAGTCAAGAGGCTGCACAGAAAATTAAGCAGCTTTTGTGCAGTTCTAAGAGACAGCCGTGATCAAGAAAACAACTTGCTCATTTTCTTTGCTAATGGCCTCAGCCTTCCAAAAGCAATTTGGGTTCTCAATGAAGTCTGTCAGAACTGTGACAATCCGCAATAGAAATATGCAAATACTTTGTGCATCTTCAATTTGCATACTGAAACTAGGAACAGATATTGTTTATGTTGAGACTCAGTCAAATGTGAACTTGCACACTGTTGTGAGCATTGAAAAAGCAACCATTAATTTTTAAGAACAGCATATTGATCATATTTTAGAGTAATTCTTTGTTGAAGGCCTATTACTTTTTTAATCTCATGATTTTTAATTGACGGGTTCTTGCCTTGTCATCCATTATGAACGGCCAGAGTTTAATATTTGATCTCTCATTAATTCTGTAACATGATCACCCAGAACAAAGAATATGGAAAAGCTGGCAACTCAGTAAATTATGTAATTTGAGGCTAATGCAAGGCCCTACGAAAGAGCAATGAAAAACTGAAGCACAGTGAAGTTAGAGAATAAAATCCTAAACTAAGAAGCTTAACCAGGGTAACAGAAACCAAAGTATGCATCTGCTGAAGCATGTTAGCCTGAATTATAAACTGCATGTCAATTCACTCCTTGATCTTTCTGCTTCCACTGCTCTGTGTGGTATACTACTGCTTGGTATTAACGTGGAACTTCTTCTGGCACATCTGTATCCCTATCTCACAGTCAAAATATTTTGTTATTGAAAAGCCTTTACATAACTATTTGTTTATTAATCAAGGCTTGACTCAAAACAGACCAATACCTTCTGTCAATATTTTTGTGCTCTCCATCTTATTTCTCTTTGAAGGTGAAAAGGAGACAACTGGTCCTCCCACTTACTGGGACATTAATCTCTAACATAGTGACATGCAAACAAAAATTACTATTGTTAAAACAAATTTTTTATATTAAAACTTCAGAAATATCGACGGTCTCTTGCCTCTATCATACAGTGCTACAGGGCTTTTAGCCAAGTAAGATCAAACTAGAAGAGAAATAGAACAAGAGACTTGAGAGGAGCTATCAGGTACTACAGAAAGCTTCACCATTTGAGAATAAGCACACCATCCCTCACAATGAACCAGGACTTCCAACACCACACAGAGAGACACCGTCTCCTCTAAAAAATGCCAAAGTCCGGATCACTAGGAGTTGCTACAAACAAGACACACTCTATTCCAGTTGAAGCATTAAACTCCACGTTCAGGCAGACGTCAGCGTCAGTAAAGACATCTTGCATACTGTAAATTCTTCTCCATTTCAGCTGAGAGATACATCTCACCCAAAACTGACATGCAATATTTTTATCACAGTCTTAATCAGAAATGTGGTATATTCGATAGTCTGGATCTGCAAGTGTTGTAGTTTTAATCGCAGTAACAGGAAGGGGCTAAATAAATAAAATGGAATCAACTGTGGTAGATGCTACTTTTGCATCCATTTGTCTTTTGTAAAAAATGCAGTCCTGAAGTTTCAGCAGTACTTTTTGTTCCTATTTTAATTTTTGTCCAAAAGGCCTCTGAACATAAAGACACACTGGAAGTCCAAAGTTTCACTACTGGCATTTAAAGATGGACAATCTGAGACCAATCTCAAGTTATCTTTAGAAATAACCTCTTTTTAAGGAAGACAGTGAGGAAAACAAGCAACATGTAGTTTTGTGTTGACTTTCAACTTAAGCTGAAAAGTAAAGGCACTCTTTAAATATATGAAAATCAATTCCTATGTGGAGAGAGGATTGGGAGGGCTTTGAAAGCAAACACGGTAATGCAAAACTCCCAAGGCATGTGCCATCATGGTAGTTTGGAACATTATTAAAACGGCCACTTACACTACTCTCACTAAAAAAAAATATTGACAGCTAAGCAGGGATTAAAATACATTCCTGACAACTTTTAATTGCAACTGAATCTCTTTAGTTTTGTTTGTCTTGAAATTCAACTTGCAAATGTCTTTTAGAATCACAGAATCATTTAGGTTGGAGAAGACCTTTAAGATCATAAAGTCCAACCATTAACCTAGCACTGCCAAGTCCACCACTAAACCACGTCCCTATGTGCCACACCTGCAAGTCTTTTAAATGCCTCCAGGGATGGTGACTCCATCACCTCCCTAGGCAGCCTGTCCCAGTGCTTGACATCCCCTTCAGTGAAGGAATTTTTCCTAATATCCAATCTAAACCTCCCGTGGTGCAACTTGAGGCCATTTCCTCTCATCCTATCACTAGTTACCTGGGAGAGACTGACACCCACCTCACTACAACTGCTCTTCTGGTTTTTTTGTTTTGTTTTGTTTTTACTGAACCATGCTTTACCAGTACTACGGAGGATATTAAGCCAAAACCAAAAGATTCTCTGGGTCCTAAAAAGTCAAGACTCATTATCAGCAAGCTTTTACTAGTACAAAACCTCTCACTAAGCACAGCTGTGGTACATGCATGTGGAAACATGCCACAGAGAAAGAGCAAGGTCATACCAGAGAACAATCACTGCATGATCCTCACAAAGCAGAAATCATTTTACTTGCAATTTAAGTTGATAGAGGAGAACTTGAATGTTCTTGCCACTCTTGAAATACAGAGTGGGTATGTTCCAAGATGACAACCTGCTCCAAGTTCAGCTGAATGTTCAGACAGACATACTGGGTCACAATTAAGGATCCAATATTCTGCCTGAACATGGTCAGTGTGAAGCATTTAAGAAACAGAATAGGAGGGGAATGGCAGAGAGGATGACCAGATGACAACCTGAATGAACAGAAGATTTGTATGATGACTTAAACTAATTTGACAGACGGTAATTCCATCAGCATGGGAACCTCAAAAAATTGGTGTTGGGATCTACTTTACACAAGCAAGCATTCAAAAAAATTAACAGTTCACACGGTCCAGAAATCCTATGTACCAAAATAGCACAGGCCAGGAACATTTAAAAGCTGCATTGAAAAGGTATATTGCCACAGCACACCTGTTAATTAGTAAAGACTCCTTTGACAGAGGTACAGGGATTTAGTTCCAGCTGTAGGTATCACACCTTACTTGAATAAACAGAACCTACTTACTGCAGATTTATCTAAAACATTTAGATGTCTAATACTGAAAACACCACAAAATAAGAAAAACAACACTTTGAGAACCTGGCACAGTATCATGAATCTTGTATCAACAATATACTTGGAGTAATAAAAAACAGGTTCACATACATACAGGGCCCTTCCCCAAAATACACCCTGCTCCTCCCTCCCCTTTTCTGCCCATACAGCAACAAAACCATACCTGGATCTTTTCGCCCTGGTTTTTCAAAGCGTCTGTCTCCCCTAGAAAGGCAGAATAACAGTTTCAAATAAGGTTTTGGAACCACTCCACTCATTTTAGGTATGGCTTTTTTTTTTTTTTTTAAACTTGGTGGGGGGCTTTTTTTAAAATCAGAGCTTGATGGAGAGTATCTTTAAAGGTCCAAGGGACAATTGTAATTGTCAGGAACACTGATACACACACAGCCTTTGACAACTAGGTATGTTTTGAAATGTGATTCTAAGTACTGTCAACAATGTTGAGATTGAAACTGAAGCAAATCCTTCAGCGATTCATATTTTCATCCATCATTTCCACTGCAACTGTCATAATTCATATTCTCTTAAAGTACCTCCTTCTTCCCAGGAACTCGGCAGAAAAATTCGTTGCAAAAATATTCATTTACTTGCTCCTGAGTTTCTAGAAACCTTATTGCATTGACTCCACCTTAGAAATTCAGACACTTCACTCACAAACATGCCTAATCACCTTTCCTAAATTGTTTTTATGAAGTCAAAAGGCAAAAATAGAAGCTGAGCAGATGTATGTAAAAAGCTTTAAGGGCTTGAGTTCTGTTACCTTTCCTCCCAACTCTGTGATCTGTGCATTTCCCTGCCCCCTCCTCGCCCAAATCCACCCTCCACTTCATCAAAACTTCTTTGGTAGAAACCGCTTTCTCCTCGGCCTCTGCCTGAAAAGACAAAAAACACAAGTGTTTGTACAAATAATAATAGAAGTTGAAAGAGTCACATAGGCTTCCCTTTCTTGGTGTCCCTGTGAACTAATCTCACAGTCTTAAGCCCCAGTGAAATTTTCTGGGGCAAAGGGAAAAATGAACACAGACTGAAGAAAGAGTCTTATGTAAAAATTCTTATTGAGAAGCACAAGACCAGACTGAACAGGCAAACAATTCTGAAGTAAATACTACACAGAAAAACACAGAAGACAGATACTTACCCAACAGAAATTACCAAACAAGGATGCATTTTTCATACAACACCCACACAGTACATGTGTACTTTTACACTCATAAAAATCAGATCGCTTTTGACAGTGGAATCCAGTATAATGGTACTGCACTGCGGATGTACTCATTATTACTGTTGTCAATGTTAGTAAGGAAGAAGGAAGCTTCACCACTATTCAGTTTGTAGTGATTCCCAGCAGAAATCTCCGCCAGGAGCAGCGGGAAGAAAAGAAGGATCACAAGATGGGTATAAGCAGGACAGCATGAAGAACCCCAATAGCTACATAATAAAGATTATCCTCCTCACTTTTTCAAAAAATGATTCTCCGTAGGTGGCTAGCAAGTATCAAGCCTCAGGCCAAAAAGTTATAGATGTATCCTCAAGTAAAGCATCTTAAAGCACCTCTTCAGTGTTTGGGTAGGCGTGGGGTGTTTGTTTAAAAAAAAAAAAAACAACCCGCACAACAGAAAAACAACACCCACACACATCCCCAGACCTTCAAGATAGCTTCCAGCACAGGTTAGATTAATGGCTGGGGTGAAGTTTCCAGATCTACAAAAGATAAACACTGCTTCACAAAGTGCTACAGCAAAAGAAAAGGGAGGTTTTTATCAGGTAACTTACCATTTCACAGATCTCATGGAAAGAAGACAAGCAAGTGAAACATCAATCAGTTGTCAGGATGACTATAGAGACTGTATGTAGGAAAGGAATTAAGTCCAAGAACCTAAAAAGCACTTGATAAAGGGAATTCTTGGCTGTGAAACTACCACAAACCTCAATCCTTGCATACTTCTCTCTTCCTGGCTTCAAGAAAACAAAGGATGAGGTGCAAACCAGGCCAGGGATCTAGAGGAATACGACAGAATGACCAAACGAAACACAAAATAAACACCTTGAATGGACTCCAATCTCTGGAGTCTTCTGAAGAAAGTAATGATAACAAGCCTCTACATCTAAAATCTAGAGATCCCTGGATGCATTACGGAATTGTACCGTATTTCAGTGTCTTATGAAAACAGGGTCTAAAAAATGGAAATAGTCAAGGCAGTTGCAACAGTTTCTCTACTATTCTATACCAAACCTCTTGCAAAAAAATAAAAAGTTGCTTTTCAGGCAGAGAAAAAGAAAACTCATCCCCAGATAATCCAGTAAGGCTCCTCAAACACACAGTGATTTCCTATTAGGCAGTACAAGTTGCAGTGTATATAAGGAAGCCACAAAGTTAATGCCTGTACATTTTCTCCTTCTGCTTCAGAAACGGGATTTAAACATCCTTTTTGGACAAAACTATCCTGTTCCTAGAACCAGCAAGGCAGTGCAGTGGTAAACCTCCTTGTCACAGAGCTGCAGACTTCCCTCCCACAGAGTTTTAGGGATGCTTAAGTTCAAACAGAGACAGGGAAAAACTGTTGAAAAATAAAATACCCTCAGATTCATAAAATACACTGAGATTTACTAAACACAGAGACCACATGTAGCTCAGGAAATGCACTGAGCTGCAAATGTCTGGAAGCTGAGTATATATATGTGATGCTTCTTCACCTTTGTATTTTTACACAGTCCTTATTGTCTTGACAAGGTGTCATCTTTTGGCTGGTGCTAGAGACAGTCTATTGAGTTAAACAAGTCCTTGCCTGATTCAGCATAGCTTTCTTACACAGACTCAGGTGGGGACAGAGGAGCTGACTGAGCGCTCAAGGCAAGAGAGGAGAGATTCAAATCAGACCTCTGACTGTACTAGAAACACTACGGCAAGTCCAATACTACAAGGTTGACCATAGTCATGAGTGCAAAATAAGCTGCAAAGGCAAGAGACAATAAAGATGTGATACAACATCAAAAGTAGCACAGTGTTCATTCAAATAAGGCATTATGGGTCTGCTCAGATCCTGGAAAAGGACTCCAAGATGTTATTCTCCACAAATAAAGCCCAGGAAATTTTAAGCATCTCATGGAATGGCAATCTTTGCCTGGTTTCTTCACTACAGGAAAGCTCTCTTCCTTCCTCTCACAAGAGATAATAAAGAAAAGCAGTTCCCAAGAGAAAGCCACAGGCAGGCAGAGTCAAAATAGAACAAAGGCACTGACTCATCTCATGTCTCTGAGGTAGTGGAGGTGGAAAGTTGCATACGCTTTTCCAACAGAAACAAAACTGGTTGCCCTTTTCTGTTTTTTTGCAGTGAGTGACAGCACCATTTGTAGTACTCCCCTTGCAGTGTGAGCAAGCACGAATGCCCACTGATTACTGACAGCAGGCACACAACTAGCAGAGCCAGAAGGTGGGCGATATGGGAGATTTCATCAGCAAATAAAGCAAATGGCCTGTATAAGGGGAAGAACAGAATCAGAATTGTTTTAACAGCAGCACAGCTTATGTCAGCTTTAAAAGCATGTGAAACAACAATCTGAGAAACCTCTCTCTGCTTACTTCCCTCTACATCATGGTTCACCAATATTTCAGTTGCGCTCAGCCACCAAAAATGAATTAAAGGATAACCTTGCAAAAGATCCAAACAAATGATCTCAGCAATTCAGTTTAAGGCTGCCTGTGGCACCACACTACTCAACTACCAGCTGTAGTGATCCCACATAGTACTGGACAGGACCTACTTAAGGCACTTTTGCCCTGGTTGTGTTGCCACCCTTCTCCACTACTTTCTCCAAGGCACACTGTCCACGTGCAATAACCAGATGTCCCCATTCAAGAGCAACCAGTACATGTGCAACTCCAGCAGGAACCAAGGAGAACACTGCATGAAAACCACACTGCATTAAAACAGATTCTAACAAGCTACAGAAGATAATTAGCTAGGTAAGGAAAACCGTGGTGTACAAAGTCAGTTATTCATCAAGTATTATGTAGATGAGTTGGACCTGAAAAGTGCTCACCGGGACACAGCTAATACTGATAACAGAATATATGAAAAATGTTTGCAGGAGAAGATAAAACTGCATGTATAAGCACACTGTTCGCTGTTCTGTCTCTGGATTCTTGGGGTTTTTTTGTGAATGACATGCTTATTTTAAATAAAATGCCACTTCTGAAAAAATGCCTGGCATACGAGGGGCAGACCTCCTAAGTGTAGATGTCGCACAGGCAAAGTATTGAATGCAAAGTCAACAGAAGGCAATAAACACTTCCATTTAAGAACAGAATGAAGCATCTGTGTCATTTTTACTTTCAGTAAAAACCTCAGAATGAGGGCCTCAATCCACTGGATATTGTAATCATAACAGCCAAAAGTCTCAAACCTGAAAAAAAGACAAGTCTGAACTTCAGTAAAATTTAGGTAAAAAATACAAGACACAAGCAAGAAACAGCACACAGTCATTCTGATTGTCATTACAAAAAAAAAACCCCAAACACAATGCAACAAGCAAGTTCTTGAAATTACAGCATGACTGGAGTTTCGAATCTACGATCATAACCATAATACAGTGTGGGAAGCGGGGGATAACTGTAGTTCAACTACCGCTGTTCAGGTATGAGTATGTTCCACTTTCACACCATTTACACACTTTCCAACAGCAGCAGAGACAGATTACAAAGGGGAAAGAGGGTGGGAGGAGAAAGAGCTCTAATGGGAAGCAAAGTACACTTCGTAAGGGTCTTAACCAAAAAGGAGAACAGCTACAAAACAAGGTGTCTGTAAGCTTACAGCCCATTCCAGGGACTATTTAAATCTCTTCTGTCTGAGGCTCTTATTCATGAATGTTGACATTCCAGTCCCAGCAGCACAAAGCACGGGGCTTAACTGCACACCACAGGGAGCTCCCAGGAAAACAAGTCAATTAGAAAAAAGGTCACGTGCAAGTACTTGGTTTCTAAAGAGACTATAACTTCAGAACTAAATAAAAATGTTTTGGATTTTTATCTCCACACAAGATACAGTATTAGTGATGGCAGTTTCACGCTGCAAATGGTTTTTAACAGTAACACCAAGTTGTATTTCGGGACACAGCTGTAAAAATCTTAGACAAAAATCAAAGCAGCTTCCACACAGTAATCACTTCCACACCAGCTAAACGTAATCACTGTCAGTAAGAGCTGGAGTCACTACTGAGAAGTATTTACTGAGTGTTATGTTGTAGTTTTAAATACTGATAAGGGAATTCACATTTGAGTTCTAACAATAACCTTCCTTTATCAGCAGTTGTTCTTCCCTTTGCCAATCTGCCACAGATTCCCTCTCACACTCCCAACATGCTGGAATACAATTCTGTGATTTGTGCCTCAGTGAGGGTCTTCCCTGAAGTTACTGTTTTGCAAGTCACTTCCAAGACAGTAGCCTTGTTTTGGTAAAGCTGAAGTTCAAATTTGATCAGCAGCAGCTTTGCTGCATACAGTTATAAAGTTCATGAAAAAAACCAGATAACCTTTTGAACCCAGGCAATTTTGCAAGGCAATAAAAAGAAGTTTTCCAACTGTTAAGTGAAGCAGTTCATTTTGTGAACAACTCCAAAGAAATTCCAAGTCCTTTTCACTGCAACTTGAAAAAACAGAACTGCATTTAAAGCTTGCTACTTGCAAACAAAGCATTAATTTTGTAAGATGTCAACAGTCCTACACTGAGCTTTTCATAAATAACTATTAGAAACAAAGTCCTTAATTACAAGAACATCACATGTTTAATTATGAAAAATCTGCAATTTTGTCCTGGAAGAAGCCCTAATTTGTTTTGTGAGATATAGAAACTTTAGAAGACTCATCATGCCTAAA